GATAATGTTCTAAAAAGCTTCCAGCATCGGTAGCGTTTATCAAAGCGCCTCGAATGCAGTGGCTTTTCACGTTTCCACCGCCAACGAGACAAGGAGCGACAATGGAGGCACAAAAGTCCGCGATTCCGCGCGGTGAATGGCGTGCCGCGGCATAATAAAGCCGTCGTTATCAATTCTTCGAGTGGGAGACATTGTCGCGAAATCGTCGAGCGTTCTGGGATACGTGAAAAAAACGCGAGAAACACGAGTGATCGTTTAGGTGCGTCGAGAGAGGTCCAACAGTTGGACGCGTAATCGTTTCCAACGTTGCTTGGAGGGAGTATTGTTTGAATTACTCGAGTCTGAAAAATGAAAGGTATTTGGAATATCTGTGAGTGTTTAATTCGAACCAGATGCTAGCGAAATCGTATCAGAAACTCGAAAGAATTCCAATTTCAGCCCATTGTACCAAATACAGTGCCAAAAGGACATGATATAATATCGAATGTAGCACGCATGCTACAAAATCTAATATAGGTCGTCGTTGGGACTTGGCAACGCGATTAATGTTAAAAATGGAACGCCGAAGGATCGTTAGATATAAATTCGAAGAGATAATAGACGTCTTTCGTTTAGGAACGGAGTTAATTATCTAAACATTAAGGACTTAATCCTCGAGTGCTTCTGTCAACCACGAAAACAAAGTTGAAATTCATTCGGAGCAGAACGTCCGCGCACGATCAGACTTTCGATTGAAGTTCATCAAGTACATCGTTCGTCAATGTGGCTCGCCTGCCGGTGTGTGTTAACCCTCGAGTAAGGACCGACTAACTTGGATGTTATTTTATGCAAAGCATTTCAACTCGAGGCTTTCATAACTCGACGTCTGGTCGCGATTTTGCAGTTTCGGTCGGCTGGCTTCAACGATGAGCGTAATTAATGCCTATTCGTCGCAGCCTCGTTAGATTTTAAATGTCCCTGACTCGTTGTCAAAGTTGATTTCCCATGCATGGAAATGCGTCAGAAGGCGACGGCGTGCGCGGAACCACGCTTCAGAGATAGCTTTATCGTGGCCGCGGTAATAATGTTTACAAATTACGATATTTCGTCACGACGCAGAAATATGCACCCATGTGACATGTAAACATTGCCATTTAAACATCGTATACAACGTTATTTTTTTTCGAATCACTTTATGTAAGGCCACATCAACTACGAGGCTATTAGTGACCACGTAAAGATTACAATTTAATTATAATTTATTTAACATGTTGTACTTCATTAATATCTTGACAAATTTGAGGAATTCGACACATTGATTTTGAATTGAAAGAATGAGTCGATACTTTATGAATCGGGGGTGCTAATATGGTCGGCGTCTAGGGGCGCTTGTATTACTGAAATTGTCAGGCGAGAGTATTATCGGTGCATCCTGGCTGCTGCCTAACCTCTTGCGAAAGAGGAACACCGCGAGAACTTTTGTCGAATCGGTCGCGGAAGGGAAAAAATATGGCGAACGGCAGTGATAGTTGCACAAAAGCAGAACCAGCAGGGCGCGCACGGTGCGCGGGCACAGACAACAGACGCATCGCGTGCGCTTCATATGTTTCATTTGCGCGACTCCACTTTCATCAGGGCGAGCTTTATTTAGACCTATCCGCGTGCATGTTCTCATCAGCCTTTTTACAGTCCCGATTTATACACGCGGAAACGCGACAACTTTGAAATTCTAATATCGACTCGCACACGCACACAGCGTTGACGCCTTCCCTCAAGAATAATAGCATATTTGGGTCACGATTCCGTCACAGAAATCACACTGGGAGCGTTGGTCTTCGACGCAAGTGTCGTTTGACCCAGGTCACCCGAGAGAGAATTTTAATTTAATTGCTGTCATTGCTGTATGTCAGCTTGACTGGGTACTGTTCGCCTAAAATGATTTGTGATTAATATCTCGATAGTGTTAGCATTCTTCGATATCAATATTATTCGCATAATTTTATTTAAGAAAGGTCCAGCAAATAAATTTACAGGGTCCTCAGCCCCCCATACGGAAATCGATTTACTCCAGGATCAATGGCGGAGTCACCGCTCAATCGACTGCATGAGAATTCCGGCATCTTCAGGGGTGCATTCCGATTTCTCGGCGAGCGAATTCAATCAGAACTAAAAATGCGGATAAATCGCGTCGCGAGTCGACGGGGACGCGCGATAAAAGCAAAACGTATTCCCTTCCTATTACGCGGCTTATTCGTTGCTCCGATCAGTCGGTCTTCCGCAGACTTGTAGACGCGTGGCTCGGTTGAAGAGTACCATCTCCGTTTTCCCTTTGTGGAAGTAGTATGGCCGTGGTGAATACAGCCGTTTGCGCCGAAGAGTGGCAGCCGCTCTTCCAGTACTCGATTTTCAATTTCCACGAAATCCGCTGCTATTTCGCGCTATTCGACTCGACTGCCGCTAGGCCAGCCTCTTCTTCTACCCTTCCGCGTGTTCCCTGTCGGGTTCCTCGTTCCACGTGGCTCCAAGATCCTTTGCACGCCGATGTACACCGGTTGGGAGCATTCTGAAAACGTACCAGCTCGGCCGTGCGTCGTTTCCACCTTCTGCTCTCAGAACGAACTCTCGAATCGTGGTCATCGATCCTTGCTCCTCGGTGCCTTCGACTAGCGATGGGACCGATCCATTAACACTCCCCTAAAACGAGTCCGAGGGAGTGGTTTTGGGTATTGTAACATGTTTTCGTCCAGCTTGATGTGGATCGAGTCAGCAATGGAATCAATTGATCATGAATGATGTTTTTAAAATAGATATGCAGTCAGTCCCATAAATATTCGTACCCTCTATGTGTATTGACAAAATTTGTCTGAATTAAATAAATGTCACATCTACCATTTAATTTAAACAAACTTTTTCAATGAACATAGAAGGTACGAATACTTACGGGACTGACTGTAGATCGAAGGGCTTCAGGAGTTGTTCATGTTGATCCAATTACATTTAATTAAAATACAAATGTAAGCATGTGGGAGCAAACGGTCGTAGACCACGAGCTAATTTTATTTTAAGTTTTTCTTTTGATTTTGATCGAAATTTTCCACTGGACTCTAAAAATAAAGAGCTTAAACAAAATTCAGAATAGATGATCAAAATTCTAACAGTTGCCAGCGTTCCCTCCTCAGTTCCATCGCTACCAACGACCTCATACTTCGCGGGAACGTCCAACAAAACCGTAGGATCGTTCACGAGCTTTCGACTCGGCAAACCATGCTCCACTTTCTCGATCCTCCGTCGGCCCCCACGGTCCGTCTTTCATCGTTTTCCTGGCTTGTTACACGGCTTACCCCGCCAGCTAAATGGCGGCCGTTGCAGGTCTTTCGGGTTCCACTGATTGGATGGTTTAGGTCGGCACGCATGAATGAGTCGATGCGGAACTACTGGATCAATCGGTGCTCGGTGAGGGCAATCCGATTCAAAGCGTGTAAGGTATTCGTTTTCGAGTTCTCTGTTCTCAGTGTACGTGTGCACGCGTAATTCCCGGTTCTCCCGTGAAGCCACGTTGATCCAGCCTTCAGTTCCGTCAGACTTCGATCCTCTTCCGCGCCGTTACATAGCCTGGCATCCGGTTTCCGTTTCAGGGAACCGTTCCATCGGCTGGAACAGGCGCGATCCCGCGGGCTGCAAAGTTTATTTTTCGGGAACGTGAAAAACATTCAAAGCGGTTCCCCAAACGGCACGAAGAAGAATGGCATATGAGAGATGAAGAATAAACGAAAAAGGGTTGTGCGTGGTAGGGCGGGGAGCCGGGAAAACGGTCGATAAGAATTTTCACGGATCGAATCGCGTCGGTTCCATCCAATCCTGACGTCTGTCTCGTCCCTGTGATTCCGTTCTACACCGAGACACGCATACTCGTCGCTCGCTGTTCCGCGGCGTTGCTCGACCGGGACGTATTTCTCGTACTACTTGTTTAGTTTTATCGCATCATCTACGCTTTCTCGATTCTCTCTTTCTACCGCCACGTCGATCGAATCAGTCATCGCACCGCTGAATTATTCCTCGAAAGGAAATTTAACGGAGCCGTTACAAATAGCCGAGTGAACTAATATCGCGGTGTTTGAGTGTGGAGAAAATTGTTGAAGCTATTCACTAAACATTGTGTACGAGCAGATGTCCCAGTGTATAAATTTTTTTTCTAAATGCTCGAGAATAATTTCGTCTCGGGATGGAGTAGCTATTATAAACAAATTAGAAACTGTATTACTACTGCATTAAGAGTTGAAAAGCAAACTTCTTCCTACATTTCCCATCTCATTCGTCTTACAAAACTTTCTGAAATTTTCACTCCAGCGGTTTCTGCTTCACCTCGCGCTCTCATCCTTCACTCTCTCAGTTTACTGATACTTCAACTATAGAACAGTATATTTTACTTTTGTTATAAAAATAACAGATCATGTTTTAAGGAATACATCACTCATTCTAGTAGCTGTTGTATCGTCATATCATTGTATAGATGAGTTAATAAAATAAATTGAACCTGACTGCGTCAGCAGAAAAATTGAGGACTCGCGTTAATCGCGTTAATCTTGTTGGCGAGGAGTAGAAGATGAAAGAAAAATTGGGACAGGGGATGAAGAGATACCAGCGGAATTTCCAACGTCCGCATGGAACAAACGATAACGACGAATGGCGTGCCCGCACAATAATCCACGATCGGCTACACGCGAGCGGAAAATCGCCCGATGGATGCGTCCGCGATTTATTATCTTGTACATCGCGAGCGATGAAATAGCCTTCCTGGAAGAAAACCTCGCGGGGTTAGCTGAACGAAGTGCTGGGAGTCGAACCAGGCGTGAATCGTGGGTTATAAGAGATGACGGGCATGAGGGTAGTTAACACAGGAAACTCGTGAGATCATTAGTAGAATTATTAGAAAGCTTTGAGAAATGAAGTTGTATGTAATCCATTTTAAACTTAGTTCTTTTAAATTTTACTGGACTTTTCTTTTAAATTAACTTTTACATTTTAAATTTGAAATTGATTTGAAATGGATGATTTGAAATTTTGAAATAATTTTGATCAGAAGGAAGTGACTTGAAATAGCACTCAAGAAAAGAAAGTCCTCTAGGAATGCCTCTGACAAGAGAAGTACAATTACTACACTCCTATCAACTGATATTTCTTCGACATCCCTTGCGACTTCAGAGATATCAAACTCTGAAAAATCGATGTTTCTTTGTAGGGATGTTTTCACTTCCCTGAACTCGCTCTTTGGTACCACTAGCGAACAGAACCGTAATCGAGTTCATGTCCTGCATTTCTGCAAAAACTCGAGAACTTTTGGACTGTATCAATCGTCGAAGTTTCTTTGCGAGCCAACGATGGAAAAGAATGGTTTCGAGTAGAAGGCGAAACACTCCAAGTTTCCGTCGGTTGGAGGGCAGGCCGGCAGCAATTCAATCGGTTTCGCCCAATCAGCGACGCCGTTAATAGCAATCAACGAGCCTTCCCTTTCGGTCTTTGGCAAACGATCGGACTAATTACTGATCGGGATAAGGCGCGCGCTGTGGCAATATGTGCACGGATATCGGACGTGCCGTACTCCGCTCCTCTTTCCTTCTCGTTCCCGCCTTTGGCCGCCTCATTCACGGCTCCTCTCTCTCCGTTCACCCAGCCAACCCGACTTCCTTTTCTTGAAATCAGGCGGCAGCGATAGGGAAGCACGCGTGCGCTTCCGCGAGTCTGAAAAGAAAAGGACGGACGTTGAAATTGAACCGAGTACGAGAGCGAGACACGATGGGGCCAAAGGGTGAACGAGGGAAGAAGGACGCTGGAGGACGCAGAAAGGGCGAGAAAGACGGCAAACGGTGGAAAGGGAACGGAGAGGGTGAGTTTTCAGTGTGCGATAACGACTGGCATCAGCAGTGCGCCTCTACCTACCACCTTCGTAGTCCTACGAGCTTAATGTACATAGAAGCAAAGAGGGTAAGGCTGGAAAGGGGTGAATCAGCGAGAGAGGGAGCGAGAGAGAGAGAGAGAGAGAGAGGAAAGCGAGGAAGCAAGGTGTACTATACGTCAAGACAATAAGTACCATTAAGATAACAGTGGGGGGGAACTTAGATAACCCCCGCATGAACCTCGAGGGTCTGTAATGGAGGATTCCATTTTATTTCAGCGTTATTTTTACCATATCCACTGGAGAGCTACGACCAGTCGCCAGTTTTCGTTAACGATCTCTCGACTACTGCGCGCTCAGATAAGCCGAAGTTTAATTCCAAGACGCGATTGAATACTCCTTTGCACCTAAGGTCTTTCGCGAAGAGCGTCGTACGCGCTCACAGGTGTCCCATAAAAGAACAAGCGCGATTTCTTTCGCGTAGCCTTGTCGGATAACTGCCCCAGTAATTGGACGATTAAGGACAAATTTCCTGTCCCCTAAAAATCAGGTGTAAATGAATTCTCAATTCATAAAATAGTAAAAATAGGCTTTAGAGAAAATTGATCGTATTAACACATCGTTGACCGGTTACGAGTTAACTCGTATTTGAACTTGCATTATCTATTTCCATTTATGAGACCCAGAGCGATATTAGAATATTTGCAAAAGCTTTGCTCATCGTGTTTAGTTCTGTCGGTTTTTCATTTCAATTCATTATGTTGGTAAAATATAAATAAAGCTTATTGAAGTTTGTTTAGATTGGTTTAATTTCACATTCAATTACGAAATAATAGCCGGTGACATGAAGTCGCTACTGTGTAAAATTCCCGGTCAACAATGCGTTAATAATCGTACAAGAACGGCCGCTTTCAGACTTCTAATAACGCGCAAAAGGCTGTAAGCCACGAGCAGTCTCGCAGATGGTTCCTTTCGACCCCTCTGCGAAGGGTGGAAAGCTCGCTGGCGCAGGTGCTTTGTGTCCAAAGAAGCGTTACTTCGCAGGGAACTGTATTGTTCTCTGCAATTAATCGAATACTCGACTTTTAAAAAATGTAGCCTCATTACTTCTCCAACACGGTTCGTAAACGTTCGCAGGAGAGCGTTGAACGTCCACGACGAAGATTTGCCCGCGCATTACGAGGAAGCTTGAAATTTTATTGTTCCGGGGGTCTATTGTTCCGAAACTGTCTTCCCGTCTTTACTAATGACAATGATTAATATTGACCCACGTGCACGTTAAACCGAGTAATACAGTCTCCTCGAGAGACGCGGTGGGTAAACTTTAGTGTCTGCCAGCCCCACCTACGTAGGAGTCCTCGGGGATTCCGTAGCTCGTCGACACGACAGTCGCCGTCAAAAGTTAGGGTATATCATCCTGGCTCACGACGTGTGTCACGAATTCGACGTGACGAACTTTGCTATTCTTAATACCTAAGCCCTATCTCAGACTGTGGATCCGCGGAGTGGAACCACGGGCGTGCGAAACAGATCAGCGGAATCGTAATTATACGCCTCTGCCAAAGAAATTATTATTAACACGCTGCCAAGCTGAAACTCGTAGCAATACGTAAGAGGTTAAAATTTTGTCTCGAGAAAATTGAAAATTAAATGATCTTATATTTGTCGTAGTATATAATTTTTTAACCTCGCCAAATTCACGAATCCAATCCAGATTTATATTTATTAACACATCACTTCTGGAATAAATTTATTGTACTTCCTTAACGGAAAGTCCTGTCAACCCATTCCAGGATGACGTGGCGACCAACGTGGTAAAGTTAACGTCTAATAAAATCTCCATGCCAGCTTCTAGCACGAATGCCCATTATTCAAACACAAAGGATAGAACAAATGTTTACACGAACCTATTTCTTTACTTTGGCATTCCCTTTCTTCACCTATGAAGTTACGCTAACATATTTATTACCCTTCTCACGGTGGAGTGTGTATTGGCGAGACTTCAACCCCTTCGTAAACGCGGACTTTGAAACACAAAGAACGAGCAATTCTTTCGAGGTTTGATCGCTCAAGCATAGTTATTCGAGCAAATTCGATGACTATGACGCACAAAGGGCTGATCATCCGACATACCCCGCATTTCGCATGTAAGACACGCGCGCAAGACACAGCGGATAACTTTTCGATCGTGGAAGTTTGTTCGTTGTATAAGAAACGACGGGCAGGTCTCACGAATAATTCACCGAGCACCAGCATAAGTGGCATGGTCGTAAACGGACATATGTGATTCCGAAGGGATCCCGGATGCCGCTGGAAAGCGGATGGTCTTCCAAGTCATTAATTATACAAGTACCGTACGTACTTACCCGACGGCTTGCTGACGCGAATATTCAGCCAGTTCTATATAGAAAGCCCTGTTACGCCAATGGTGGAAGGGCGTGATAAACTTCTCTTTGAAGTGGCGTGCAACGTTCACTTTTAATTTCAGACATCGATCAATCAGGTTTGAATATTTGCCCACACGTCCTTCGTCTTGTTTCCAGCCTAGCAGGTAGCAATTTTGGATAGCTTGTCGGGGAATGGTCGATTCTCTGCTCGAGTATGTAAGTGAAGCTATTCGACACAGTTCCGTGGTAGGCTTAAACGACAGACCGCGGTTAAATCGCACCGTTTTCATTCCATCGACCGTGCACGTTCCTTTTAACTAGATGATATGCTAGTCTCTTTGGTCTGGGTTTCACGAACGAATCGACGTCGAGATTGATCGTAAATGGCATGTCTTCTTTTCGCGGAGTTCGAATCGACTTGGTGTAGTACTTTCCATGGGGCTGTAGAGACAATCGACTCGGATGAAAGTAAATTGACCTTATTGATTCTGTCGATGCCATCTATAATGAATTGGGTGTGCAGGCCACGCGGCTTGCAAACGTAGTCTCGTGCGATGCATTTCTCGAATCGAAGACAAGCGTCGATTGTGCACACGGTCTAAAATGAATCGACCTTCAGTCGAGCGAAATAACGATCCAACAATGCAAGCAATCGAGCAGTTATGAGAGCAAGCTTAAGTGGTATTTATTTATGAACGATTCATTTTACGTGATATTCATATATGATGGTACGTACAGATTGTTTTCTTTTTAACTGCGTGGCTCAAAGAATAAAATTACACTACTTCTAACAAATGAATTAAATGCGTTTACTGGTTATCATTTTATATGTATACTAGTGTAATACACAATGAATAATAAAAATAGAAATGTTCTTGATTTTTTTGTTGAAAATATTACGATATAAACAAATGTCCAGAAAAGTCAAGGCAAAAGGAATATTTTTATTAAATATAAGTTAATTGTTTCTTTAGATCAGGATCGATTTCTTTGGAATGCTAGATGCAAAGCCAATGTCCCTGGCTATTTCGGCCCTTGACGGAATTCGTCGCAAGTTTCGGTCGAGTTTACTTGTTAATGACTGTGTACATACCAGGAGCATGCTCAGATACCCTGGTGGCCACGTATTCGCCGATGTTGGCTCATCGGCATCAAATTGATGAAGAGAGTACCGGCTAGCGCAACGATAGAATCTTGTTAGCGCTACTGTCTCTTTTCTAGCGTGCCTTGTCGGCACACAACCGCGTCCAATCAATGTTTCCTCATGAATTATGTTCGATCGGTTTGCGAAACGGACTACCGATGCCCTGTTCGGACGCTGGGAAATCGTTCCTTTGTTTCGTGCCGCTGGATTGGACGACATCGTAAAGACGTTTCACGGTCCGAACATCTCCGTACCTTGATGCAGACCAAGTAGCTGATCGGTTCAAACTTAGGAATTCGTCAAAATTGCTATGAATTTCAAGGGAAAGGAAATATTAGTTTCTAAGGGAAATGTGACACCTTTGGGCAGTGACGAATCATTTTTGCTTGGTCTGACCCAGCACGGAATTAACTCCTTCCAAAACTGTTCTTTCTTTCTCTCTATAATACACTTAGTTTCAAATGTTTCAAGGTAAACAACTCTGCATGTATTTTTCATGAAAATAGAAGAAAATAAGTCTTTGTTGTATTCGTGAAAAGAGAATGTACATATTGGAATATGCACGGAAACGTGTACCTAGAGATCTGCGTAACTCCAGGACGGATACCCACCGTGCAACGTGAAATATTAATAATAGCCGATCGATACGAGGGATTTGAATTTTATCCAGCGCGGGTCCCGGATATCATTTAAAATTCAATTTGCTTTGGTCGACGAACGACGGTCAGCATGAAAATAATACAGCTCGCGAGCTGCTTGTGTATCTTTGCCTGCGGTACACGCTTTAAAGTCATTATTCACTGGCGGCCAGGAACTTTAATCGCGAAAAGTTTAATCACGCGATTCTAAAATTATCTACCCGCGTCGAGCTGGAGGAGGATTTCGTAGACTTAGCGGAGGTTGAAGGGTAGGTGTGGTTGGTGGAAACAAGAAAAAATGGAATGCTCTGAAGCGACGGAGTGCTTTCGCTCGTTGTTGATGGCTCGCTTTTAATATTTTGTTTTGTCGCGCTTTGTCTTGGATTTTTACTGATTCTTCCGTTATCCTGTCAATCATTAGTTTTTTCTTATGTTCAAAGGTTCTTAGAGGTTCTTGGGTCAGATGGAGTCATTAGAGGTCATCATAAACTCATAAGAACAACCAACCAAGTAACTGAAAAATGAATCGCTTATACCAACTATAAATTCTATCGAAATACGTATTTCGGTGGTTGAAGTGATCGTACAAATTAGGTCAATTGAATAATACGTCTCTGCAGGAACATCGGCACACTCCGAAATAATCATTAAAATTGCAAATAAATATTCATAATTAAATTTCTCAATAACACGTCACGATATCGTCGGGATATTGACAAAATCATGGGTCAATATCAGTTTTAATTTTCATTTGTTTCCATCAAATTGGCTCTTCCCTCGGGAGGTTAAGCGCAAATTGGAAAAATATTCGATGTCCGATAACAGTTTGATCTTTGGATCGTTATGCCTGCACCGCGTGAAATTTATCGCTCCAACTTTGAAACTCAAAAGTCATGAGTTCGCGAACAAGCTAAATTGAACAGTAAAAAATTCATACACGATAACTCGAGTTCATTTAAATGACAGAGAAATAGAGAGAATTTGAAGGAAAATTCGATTCTGTGGACGTCGAATTTCTGCGAAGCGCTCCGATACGAATTCGAACATAAACGATGTAGACGTGCCAGGTTGTGACTATGGTAGCGAGAGTTTCAATGGGACTGCGTTACGGATGGCTGCTTCAGCAAACGATACGCGTATCGCGTTCCAGTCGAAGCGAACGCGAGATACCACCCGCGAAACGAAGAACCTCGGGCCTTACGAGATTTACATGGCGTTTCGGGAATGTCTATCGGTTGAAAACCGATTGCATTTTCCGGCTAAATTGCCATGCAGACTGCTATTGATTCGAGATATAACTGTATTATTGAAGCAAATTCTCCAACTTCTCATTGGCCTGACTACTAATAATTATTTACCTCGAAAGCAAAATTTTAGTATGTGGGAGTCGCTAAAAATGGTGCGCGATAAGTTTACCTATAAAAAAACTGCCAACCACTGAGCGAGCGGAAATGAAGTCTGAACTAGGTCATTTGACATGGTTGCTAACGGGGAAACCCGTTAAATAGGGAACTAGCAGTAATTAACGCTGCTTCTCGGATCGCTCGGCGACCACGTAAATTCTCGTGGCTTCCTCGAACTTCGGCTCGCGGTTTCAGCTTTGGACGGGGTTGCGCGAGTAAGCCCTCGTCACTGAAATTCCCTAACGATAACGAAAGAATTCTCGTTCTCTATTCGGAGACAATAGGTTATTTGATGGACGACGCGGTGGTTGACGCGTCGTTAAAACGTGGGAGAGAGTTAATGGAATCAAAATATTCCAAGAAGACAAGCTTCGATTCATTCAATGGAAAATTGAATTTATTTTTTGTAAATTGTTTGTTTTCCATTCGTTATTCGACACATTTAGATATAACTTTTGCCCATCTTTGAGGATTTATCGCGTCGAATGGACACTAACTCCAGCGGAGCCGCTGAAAAGGAGAAAACCTGAAGAATGAAGAGGAAGCTCCGTGGCTGGAAGCGCGAGAGAAATAAGGGTTGAGAGAAAGAAGAACGAGCTTGTAGCGGGGAGAAGCAAGCGTCGGAAGTTTGAAGCCCTTAATTGCTTTTTAAAACTTTCAAGTTCGACTACGGTCCCGGGGCCCCCGTTCTTCGTCCTCGTCCCACGATCTCGTCCCGGTCGCACCCTTTGCATTCCACTTCGGAATGTTCAATATTAGTTTTCCCTATCGTAGCTGCAAACACGTTTGGCATTGGGGATAGGTGGAAGGGGTGCCCCAGCAGAGCCGCGCTAAGAGGGTGGCGATGCGCAAGAAAATAGAGAGAAAGGGAGAAAAGGCTGGTCAGAGCCGTCGATAACTAGCCTCGGTTTTTGCACTCGAAGCAATTAACGTTGCCCAGGAAAAAGAAGCCGCGGAGTTCCGTGGGGGTCGTTTCTATTGGTTTGTCTATCCTCCAGGGCGTTGAGCTCACTTTTCCTTCGCGAAACTTCGCGAAACCGTAAAGTGCCCCCGTCCTCGAACTTTAGACCGGTCCTTCTTTTCCCCGTTTCGCACGCGCCTGGCGAGCTTTCAGACCGGAAGACACTTTTATTGGGTCCCAAAGTTTCGTCGCGGCTATCGCCACCGACGGCGATCTGTCGGAACGGGTTGTTGTCAGACAAATTGCGCGAATCTACCGACGTTTGATTTCCTTTGTATCGCAGCAGAGCTAGGAAAAGCTCTGCGAAGTTCTACGTTATTATATTTGGATAGAAATCAGTTGGAGGACGATTTGCTTTTGCTCATCAGCAAAAGCGCAACCAAAACCCAGTTCATGTATTGTGGTTTATAAATATAAATTTCATTTTATTATCTATTCCAAGTGATCCAAAATAATAACGAAATATTCACATTCGCAGAAAACAGGTAGTAATAGCAACCGAAGTAGAAATAACAAGCACTGGTCAGACGCAAGAAGCACGTGACTCAAAAATGTTTAATTTCATGTTCTTAGAAATGTAGACTCGTGTCAAAAAATGTAACTTCATATTTTCGACTTAATTCTACGCATAAATCATTCTATACAGCCGAAGTAGAAATAACCAGCTCTGGTCAGACGTATAGGCACAGGTTCCAAAAATGTTTGCGATTCATGTTCTCAGAACCATAGGCTCGCGTCAAAAAATGTTACTCTACATTTGCTACTTACTTCTACGCATAAATCACCCTATACCTGCCCGTACCACCTGTTCTCACCCACTTTGTACGTTTATTTACGACCATGCCGAAGATGGCGCGACGAGTTCCCTCTGTCCTCGCGCGACAAAAACGCGCCATCCGTTTCACGGAGGTTCTTATTTCAGGTTCCCGGTAACGATACGCGTTTAATTTACATTTCGATCCATATTGCATGAGCGCCGAGCGATACTCCCCGACCAAATGTCCATTCAAATACGGGGCAGGACTGTATTTCGAAGGGGCGTTTGCGAGAAGGGGGATTGCTCGTATCTTCTCTCCCTGGAGTTTCTTTCTCGATTCAGAAACCTTGAGGAGGGTCCGAAGGCCTTTCCAGACGAGCTTTTTTCCCAGAAGTGACTCGCCGACCGACCGATATCTCGCCCACTCGAAATTGGAGCACGATTTTTGCATTCGACCACCACCTCGAGATGTCAGAGAAGCAATCTGCTC